TTGTCCTATAGATACTGGGCCCCGGGACATTTGGATTTAGGGCAAACAGATGGCTGAGTAACCTCGCCCTATTACTGATTGTCCATTGTCCCGAGGCAAACACACTCCAACCATCAAATTTACAACAAAATCTAGGGGAGTAATTAACTTTTGAATCACACAGTCCCACACCTGGGAGGAACCCCGCTCCACCTGCAGCCAGGCTTAGCTCCATGCACCTAGCATTGGCAACCCCGTTAAGCCTGGGCCCATCTCTCCCACACCGCTGCTGTCTGGAGCTCTAAGCGGGGCTGGCCTCGAAGCCAGTGCCGGGCCACCCTTCCCCATCTGCAACCAGAAAGGCCCATTTTCGGGTCTCCTGCTCATAACTAGACTCTCCCTCTAGTCATATGGTAATTACAGCCCCTGCTCTACTTCCTTGAAAAGATCCAGGTTGGAGATGCCGGAAGAAAACCTCTATTAATGTATTTGAAACGAGGTCTTGCTTTGTATTCCATGCTGGCCTTGAACTCACTGTATAGCTCAGATTGGTCTCGAACTCCTGGCAGTTCTCCTACCTAGCCTCCCACATACTGGGATTACAGGCGTGCGCCACCATATCCAGCTCTGAAAACCTTTAATAAACTTATCAGTGAGTTATTCAAGAGGAGGCGACCTTCAAAGCCAGAGGACCCCTAAAGGCCAGGCTCCGCCCCTCAGGAGAAGCCAAGGGCTAGGCCACACCTCTCAGTATAAGCCAACCAACAACTAGGCCCCGCCCCTCACCACACACCAACCAACGGCCAGGCCCCGACCACCAGGACTAGCCAATAACCCTCAGGATACTCCAACAGCCAGGCCCCGCCCCTGGATGCCCCGCCCCCGGGCACCCCAGCGGCCTGACCCCTCCCCTCGCGGCGCGCTAACGGCTGGCCCCGCCCCCGCGTGCGCGGAGACGTCCGGACGCCGGCGTCAGCGTGGGCTGAGGTGGCAGTGGCGCAGTCACCATGGAGCTCCCGGCGATGTCGGATGTCATGTTGCTGTCCTTTTTCGTCGGGCTGTTTGCCCTGATGGCGTCGGTGGCAATCGCGCGGGGGTGGCTGCGTGCGGAGGAGGAGAAGAAGAAGGCCAGCCAGCCTGTCGGTACGTTCGGCCGCGGCGGGCAGGAGCGCCGCGTGGTCAGGCTGCGCTGACGGCCGCGGAGGCCAGGGCTGTCGGGCCTCGGTTCCTTCTGTCTGAAAGGAGATTCGGCTCCGGAGGTGCGGTTCTGCCCCGCCGGGCTAGTGGTACCCTGGGTCTGGACGAGCCGAACCGGCGCTGTGTCGGTGCCCGGGGCTGCTGTCGTAGCTCTGGGGACTCAAGCGTGCGGCGGGTTCGAGGTATTACAAAATGGGGGCGGGCAAGGGTCCGAGGGCGCTGCTGGACCACCCTGCAAATTGCAGCGCTCCTCAGAGTACCTGGTACCCTGGGACGGGCTTGGGAGTCTTGAAGGAGTGCAGCAGTGTATCGAAAATGTGCATCTGAAATCTAAATCTGTGAATCATAATCCTGTAAACGTGCAAGTGAAAAACATACGCAATTGTCAGGTGCATGCCTGAATTTCATCACCTGGGAGGCTGAGGCAGGAGGGTCTCATGTTGGAAGCCCAGCCTGGGAGGCTTAGTGACCCTCTCAAAAAAAAAGGCAGTGGATGTAGCTCAGTGCAAAGGACCTGGGTTCAATCCCTGGTATTGCAAAGTAAATAGTGTAATAAATTTCACAGAAAGGTCAGTACTAGAAACAAGACCACTGGTTTTGGGGAGAGATAGTCATAGGACTCTTCATTTTGGAAACCATGAGGTGGTTTTTTTGATAATTAGGTGTTGGGTGCTGGGGATAGGTTGTGGCCTCAATGGCCCTCTATTCCTGAGCTACGTGGCCAGCCCATTTTTGGAAGAGTTTACCAGGAAGCCAAGGAAGAGAGAGGCAAAACTGAAGACAGGGAGTCACAAAACAGCACTTGGTGTGACTCAGAGGCCTGGAGGGGCTTTTAGAGCAGGGCCTGATTCTCAAGTATTTCATTTGAAAGTGGCGGCCGCTATTGCTGGCACAGGGTTGATGCTCAAACACATGTTGACTGAGTTCTTAGAGGCCTGCCTTTAATGCATATATTGGGCCCTTTCTGTATATATTATCTTGTCCAATTCTCTGGATCTCTTTTCTGGAAACCAAGACCCAGAGCAATTAAATGACTCCCCCAAGGCCACCAGGTTCATTTGTGCTCTTCGCTCCCCACATGGGGGCAGACGCACTCCCCTTGGTGTGCTAGGGCATTCCCAGCTGCATCAGCCCAGAGAGGACACCTCTTCTATTTGCATGGAGGTGCTGTTCTGTCCAGCAGGAAGCAGCCTCATCCAGGTCAGGTAGTGGTGCTGAAGAATCCAGACCCCAGGCCAGTTCCAAAGCCTCCGTTCTTGCTCATATCACAGGCTTTCTCTCAAGGACAAGGCCACATGAGTTTCGTCTCTTGCTCTCCACTCACTTGGGGCCTGCTGAATCACAGGTAGTCAGTGCTTACAAATAACCAAATGGATGAATGGTGTCTTCCTTATAGCCCAAAAAACAAACAGACCCAAGAAGCCAGGATCTAAAAAGCAGAAACAGCAGCAGCGGATTCGAAAGGAGAAGCCTCAGCAACACAACTTCACCCACCACCTTTTGGCTGCAGCACTGAAGGTATGTGGGTCCCCATGGGTCCCCACATGCGACACGTGGGACTCGTGCCCCTGTTGTCCTTCACCTTTGTCATCGTCTGTGGTGTTTCAGACCCTGCTACCTCTGGCCGAAGTCAGTGGCCGTCCCTGTCCGATCCCTCCTCTGCCCAGCTCACCCTCAGCTTGCTAGTCATCCAGCATCGGGCCTCCAGGTTTGGCTTTGCTGTCTGTTCACCCTTCATCCACCCTTTGCCCAGAGCCATAGTGGGAACATATCATGCATGGACTTCAGCAGCAATGGCAAGTATCTGGCCACCTGTGCAGACGATCGCACCGTCCGCATCTGGAGCACCAAGGACTTCCTGCAGCGGGAGCACCGCAGCATGCGAGCCAACGTGGAGCTAGACCATGCCACCTTGGTGCGCTTCAGCCCTGACTGCAGGTGGGACAGGATGAAGCCTCAGGTTTGCCCGCAGAAGCCCAGCCCCAGCTTCTGGCCTTCCCATATCTGGTTGGGGATAGTGAGGAGGGGCCCAGGGTCTCCTTGAGGGGCAGGAAGAGAGCATCCAGATAGTGTGGACACTGCCTGAGGCTTCCTGGAGGGCTGTACCGCTTTGCAGCAAAGAAACAAAGAGCCAAAGACCTCTTCTACGCAGCAACTTCCAATGCCAGGCTTCCAAATGAATCTTCGGAGCTCTCAGTTTTGTTTTGTTTTTTTTCTGGTACCGAGGATTGAACTCAGGACCTTGCGCTTGCCAGAAAAATTTGTTTCTTTTTTTTTTTTGGTACCGGGGATCAAACTCGGGACCTTATGCTTGCCAGACAAATTTGGCGCCACTGAGCTACATCCCCGGCCCATCTCAGAGTTTTCTGAACCATAGGGAGAAGGTAAAGGAGCCAAGCAATGAGAATCCTTTGATTTTTGTGTGTGTGTGTGTGTGTGTGTATTTTGTTTTTTATTCTAGTGATTGAACCCAGAGCTTTTTTGTGTGTGTGCTGGGGATTGAACTTGGGACCTTGTGCTTGGAAAGCAGGCGCTGGAACCACTGAGCTAAATCCCCGGCCCTGAACCCAGAGCTTTAGACATCTCCAGCCCTTTTTACTTTTTATTTTGAGACAAGGTCTCACTAAGCAACTAAGTTGGCAAGACTGGTCTTAAATTTTTTTTTTTTTCAAATTTTCAATCTTCCTGCCTCTCAGAGTACTGGAATTATAGGCATGTGGTTTTTAATAGTTTTAAGATATTTTGAACAAGATGTTATATTGTAAGGTCACACATGCTGTAGGGCGTGAAGGGAGATCTTGATTTTTTCCAGAAGTCCAGCATAGGACCTAAAACCCTAGGCCTCCATCTCCAAGTGAGAAGGAACTATCTGCTCTGTCTCTAGAGCCTTCATTGTCTGGCTGGCCAATGGGGACACCCTCCGGGTCTTCAAGATGAGCAAGCGAGAAGATGGAGGCTTTACCTTCACAGCCACCTCAGAGGACTTCCCTAAAAAGCACAAAGCTCCTGTCATCAACATTGGGATTGCTGACACAGGTGAGAGACAGTCAGAGGGCGGAGCTTGCCTGAGGCTTGAGAAAAACCACCTGACCCAGGTTGTGTTTGCAGAGTAAGTTGTTGGTACCTGAGGGTTTTTTTCGGCCTCAGTGTGACCAAGGGGCTGTGGCTCTAAGCAGCCTGGCTCTGTCCTCCCCTGGAGTCCTGGGAGCCACAGGATGTCCCGGAGGAGGCAGGGCGAGGTGCAGTCTTCACCCCAGTCCTTATCTGTGGTGACCCTTGGCCTGGGAGGGGATCGTGGGTACTTTGGACAGCAAAGGCCTCATTGATATCTTTCTGGGGAATGTCAGTTGGTCAGCTCACTGCCTTTGGCTCATGTCCCTCCCCTCCCCTTAGGAAAGTTCATCATGACAGCTTCCAGCGACACAACTGTCCTCATCTGGAATCTGAAAGGCCAGGTGTTGTCTACCATTAACACCAACCAGATGAACAACACCTACGCTGCCATATCCCCTTGCAGCAGGTGAGGAAGGGCGGGCATCGGGCACAGGGCCCAGCTGGGCCTGTACTGGGCTCAGAGCAGAGAGGCAGTCTGCCGGTGGACTGGGCGCTCAGGGTGGAGTCTTGGGATGCTTAGATCAGGTCTCAGCTCTCCTCCTTGCAGTGATGGGATGTCGTGCAAGCTGCCAGTCCTGTCTCTCTCTTTGTCTGCACTTGTTAGAGGGTAGGGTTGGTGTGCTATGTATCTTAGAACCAGCTAAAAGGTCACATGCACAGAAGCACTTGGTATTTTTTTTGTTTTGGTTTTTTTGTTGTTGTTTTGGGTGTTTTTGGTACTGGGGATTGAACCTAGTGTTTTTGGACTGAGCTACATACCCAGCTTGTTTTTTTGCTTTTATTTTGAGTCAGACTCTTCCTGAGTCAATAAGTTGCCCAGCCTAGGCTTGAACTTGTGATCCTCCTGCTTCAGCCTCCCAGAGTGCTGGGATTCCAGGTGTGTGAACCACCATGCCTGGCTTTAGAAGCACTTTGTTAACAAGTACCTTGGGCTGGGAGGAGTGATAGAACACTTGCCTAATATGTGCAAGCCTCTAGGTTTGATCCCCGGTACTGAAAAAAACATGCCTTTTTCTTTTCTTTTCTTTCTTTTTTTTTTGGCACCGGGAATCAAACTCGGAGCCTCGCACTTGCCAGGCAGGCGCTGTGTCACTGAGCTACATCCCAGCTCTAAAAAATGCCTTTTTCTAAGGAAAGATGTTTAAGGGGTTTAGAGGTGCAAGATGCCCTTCAAATCCAGTTTTCAAGCAAGCTGGGTTTTGTGGCAGGTTTGTGGCCTCATGTGGCTTCACTCCGGATGTGAAGGTCTGGGAAATCTGCTTTGGGAAGAAGGGCGAATTCCAAGAGGTTGTGCGAGCCTTTGAACTGAAGGGCCACTCAGCAGCTGTCCACTGCTTCGCCTTCTCCAACGACGCCCGGCGGTGAGTGCAAGGTAGTGCCCTGATCTCCTCCAAGACTCTTCTGCCTATGGGTTCTGGGGCTTGCAGGGGTCATAGGAAGTAGTCAAGCTTCCTGGCTGCAGTCCTCAGGCTGTCCTGGGCTCTTCCCTGCCAGGGGGTGGTGGAGGCTCGAGCTGTGATGTCCTGTGTTACAGGATGGCCTCTGTGTCCAAGGACGGCACATGGAAACTGTGGGACACCGATGTGGAATACAAGAAGCAGCAGGACCCCTATTTGCTGAGGACAGGCCGCTTTGAAGAGGCGAGCACCATGCCGTGCCGCCTGGCACTCTCCCCAGACACCCATGTCTTGGCCTTGGCCAGCGGCACCAGCATTCACCTCTACAACACACGGCGCGGTGAGAAGGAGGAGAGCTTTGAGCAGGTCCACGGGGAGTGTATCGCTGACTTGGCCTTTGACATCACTGGCCGCTTGCTGGCCTCCTGTGGGGACCGGGCTGTGCGCCTCTTCCACAACACCCCAGGCCACCGGGCAGTGGTGGAGGAGATGCAGACCCTTCTAAAGCGTGCCTCCAGTGACAGCACCCGCCAGAGGCTGCAGCAGCAGCTGGCCCAGGCCCAGGAGGCCCTTAAGAGCCTGGGTGCCCTGAAGAAGTGACTGGCTCAGGCAAGGTCTTGCCACCTGTACCCACTGCCGCCACTTTCTTCCCAGGTGCTCCCAGGTGGAAACCTTCCGGAAGGAGTCCCCTGATTTTCTCACTGGTCTCTGTCCCATTAATCCTATTCTTGGCTACTTAGAGCTCGCTCTCCCCTTACTGGTTTTGACTCCTGGACCCAGGAACAAGGAGCTTCTCTCCTGGGTACAAGAGGTGGCGTCTGTCCCCATCTAGCACTGAGGAGAGTGGTAGAGGAGCGAGAGAATTTGACCTTTTGACAATGCACCGTGACACCCAGAGAAGTTCATAAATACAGAGGTGAAGCTCGGAAACACCCTGAACAAGGTGCAGCTTTGCAGGGTGAGACGTTGGAAACCTGGTTACAGAGCAGGGCAGTGAAGTCAGGGGAAGCTGAGTCTTCACCGGAACCAGGCTCCTGACTCCAGCAGAAAGGAAATGGAATGGATTGCATTCTGGGCTTCTGTTTTCTTCTTTGCATAATGGAGAACAATGCTGTGGCTGCTTCCCAGAGGCGCCGATGTGAAATGAGTACAAAGTCCCCACACTTTGGAGGACGAGGAAAAGAGGGTCAGTGTCATTAACAACCAGCTATAGGTGGGGGTCAAACACAAACTCGTTCCTTAGTAAGGTGCTGTTGGCTAGGACTCAGACATTTTGTACCTGGGTCAGCTTCACATTTTGTGAAGGAATAGTGTTATCTCGAGGTGGGGCTCCTGCCTTTCCGAAGGGTACATTCGCTTAAGGAGCCCTCTTCAGCTCATCACTTAATGTGCTTACCCACCCTGACCGGCACAGCACTGAACAGGGATGATAAATGTGAAGTGGGCTCTGCCATCAAGGATGCCTGGAGGGAGGAAATAAACACATTTTTCATTTATTCATAGCTACAGTAGACTATGATAAAGGTCAAGAGAGGATTGCAACCAGGATGGAGGCATTGGGTAGGAAGTGGAAGGGATACTTTTGATAAGGGATTATGTCTTCAGAAGTCTGAATTTTGGGCTGAGCATGGTGGCATACACCTGTAATCCCAGCACTGGGAAGGCAGGACTGAGGCAGGAAGATTGCCCCGAGTTTGAGTCCAGCCTGGGCTACATAGCAAGACCCTATCTCAAAACAAAAAGTTTGAATTTTGGGATTTGGGGACTGTCTAGGGAGAGGCCAGGAGATGAGGACTCTGGAGGATTTGGGATGAGGCAAAATATATTCATCAAAAATCCAAGTCTTGGGCCGGGCATTTAGCTCAGTGGTTCTGGTGCCTGCCTCACAAGCACAAGGTCCTGAGTTCAATCCCCAGTACCAAAAAAAAAAAAAAAAAAAATCATCCAAGTCTTGATCTCTTGACCAAAACCAGGGCCTGCCCTAGTTGTCCCCAGTGCTGTCGAATGTCAGAGCAAGCCACAGCCTTGCCGTGGTCCTTATTGCTCCTTTTTCTTGACACCCTCCATCCACCACCATTACCTCATCCTCACCTCAGAAACCCCTTTCCTTGTGCTTCAGGTGACATGCAGAGCCTGCCACCATCCTGGACATGGCTCCTGTCACCCAGTGGCTTCTGTTTTCCTTTGTTGCCTGGTTAATTTGCTCTTCAACATAGCAGACTGATCTTTTGACAGTGTAAAACAGATCATGTTACTCCTTTCAGAGGTTTCCCTTCACTCTTGGAACAAAATCCACAATTCTCACCCTGGCTCACACAGTGCTATGTAACCTCGCTGTCCCTCTGTGATCCCTTCCTGCTCCAGCCATGCCAGTCTTGCTGCCCCAGAATGGGCAAGCTCTTTGTAGCTTCAAGTAGGCCCTGTGCCTTGCTGGTTCCTCCCTGTGGAAGCATTTTTCTTCTCTGTTGACAGCAGGCTGGCCACAACTCAGTTCTTGGTTTCTTTGTACCTTGAAATTATCCTCCCTGCCGCCGCATCTGAAGCAGCCCTTTCCCCCCATCATCACAGGCATCACAGCTGATTTCCTTCGTTATATTACTCAATGCTGTCAGAAAGAAGCCTGTTTGGATACTTGTCTGCTTCAGGGGTTTCAGCTTCAATGCTTACAAATCTCAAGTGGATGCTAAAATCACTGGAGACTGCAGCAAGCTGGAGGAGAAGGGGTCCTGGGTGTTTGGGTGGGGGGCAGGCTGCTGTGCAAGGTGCCTGTCTGAGAAGCTTGCCATTGGCACCTTACTGAAAACATCAAGCACTATGAGGACCACACAAGACACTGACATGGCCAGGATGTGACCAGCCAGACTCACTGGCAGCCCGAGGATTGAAGAACCCACGAGAATGTGAGCTGCATGAGGACTGGGTGTGCTTCAAGCCAGGTCCCAGGCACAGCAGCTGGGACAAAATAAGCCCTGGGTAAATGCTGAGCACAGACCAAGAGCTGTGGGTAGAAATTGCGGTGTCCTGCCTGCCTCATGCACTCCCGGTCTCCACTGTGGGCTTCCGTTCCTAAGGGTGATGAAACTGCACCAGGGCCTGGCGGATGCCTGATTGTCAGAAGGATGAAACTCTTTGACATGCCTGTTTGGAGAAGCATCTCTGGCCTTACTCTGTGCTCGATGCAGGGAGAGGAAGAATTGTGTTACTAAAGTCTGACATCTTGGTACTGTTGTAGCTGGGTCACTGACTTGGGATCAAGAGCAGGGAGGTAACCTGGCCTCTGGGTTAGTTTCCTCACCTGTAAAATGGGAAGAAATTCTGTCCTTGCCTACTTTCCTATGTTATGAGTTTCTGAGTAAAAATGCTACAGAAAGCTCATTGTACAGTCTCTTTAAGGACCGGAAGTTCTTCCGAGAGATGGTGCCGCTTCTCTTGTAACCATAGAGAAAGTGGATACCAACGTAGAGCAGCAGCTGCCAAGTTTCTTAGGTTAAAAAGTCTTTGTGAATAAAGGAATCATAAATAATTTCAATATTACTGTTTCAACTTCTTTGGGTTTAAAATTTTTCAAAGTAGAAGGCTGGGGGAGCTGGGGATGTAGTTCAGTGGTAGGCACTTGCCTAGCATACCCAAGGCCCTGGGCTCCTGGGCTCCATCTCCACCACTGCCCCCCCCCCAAAAAAAAACAGTTGGGGAAACTTAAAATGGTGGCATGTAGCCTATTTTTAAATGGTCATCAAAAACTGAAAAACAGGCAAGGAGGATCACAAATTTGAGCCCAGCCTGGACAAATTATAGGTGAGACCCTGTCTCAGAATTTAACACAGAAGGATCATAGTCAAGCCCAGCCTGGGAAATTAGACCAGTGCAAGGACCCTGGGTTCAATCCCCAGTACTCACCCCCGAGAAAAAAACAGTGGGAATATTTGCATTAAAAGTGTTCTATAATTGGAGGCTACTGGAGGTAAATAGACTGTTATGATGAATTACCAGGGATGGTGGGTTATTTCATACAGCATGAGATAGACCCAAATTGGCCACATATCTAGAGACTTAGTTTGGGGATTCATGTACTCTAAAGTGAGCTCAAGCAGGTCTTCCCTGGGAGCCTGGCTTGCTCTCTGCACACAGCTCAGGTTGAGGCCCACGGAGGGCAGACCTTGGCCTTCATGATCAACTGCTGCAGTTGAAGGCAGGATTGGTCCACAGACGCCTGGGCTGTCTTCCGAGATGCTGACTGCCAAGTCCTCATCTCTGGTTTCAAACACTGCTCCCAGGGCTCAGGAGAAGGATTCTGGCTCTGCCTTCCAGTCAGAACACGCAGCTGGATGGTCACATGTTCTTGATCACACAGTGGCTAGCCCTTGAGTATTAAACCTTTAATCTATCACCTTGCTATTGTTTTTTGCCTTGGTCATTTTCCTGGCAGCTACATCGAAGTTTTTATCTAGTGAACTACCTCTTTCCAGTTATTAATCCATGTGGTTTATAGGGGATGACATAAACCCTCCATGACCCATTAGCAAATTGGGTGCATAACCAATTGGCAAACCCCTTGAACACTAGAAGGGTGAAAAATATATGAATACATATATATATATAAATATATATATTTATATATATTTATATATAAATATATTTATATATATATATTTAGTACTGAGGATTGAACCCAGGACCTTCACCCTGAGCTTCATCCCCAGCCCTTAACTTTTTTTTTTGACAGTCTCACTAAGTTGCTAAGTTGCCCAGGCTGAACTTGAACTTGTTACACTACTGCCTAATCCTCCCAGGGTGCTGGAGTTACAGGGATGGGCAGTCACACCTAGTTCCAAAGTGTCACATCTGATTCAAACAGCTTGAACCAGCTGTGGAGTTGGGGGCATAATCTTTTAAGTTCCCCAAACCAGAAGCTACTTTTAAGATGAAAGTGGCACATGCCTGTAATCAGAGCTACGCTGGAGGCTGATGTGGGGGGATTGTGGGTTCAAGGCCACCCAGAGCAGTTTAGAAAAACAAAAAGGGCTGGGGATGTAGCTCAGGGATAGCTTGCCTATCATGGATGAGGCCCTGGGTTCAATCCCTAGTACCAGGGAAAAAAAAGGTCAAAAATAGATGGCCTGGCCCGGGGATTTAGCTCAGTGGTTTTTGCCACCTGCTGCACAAGCACAAGGACCTGAGTTTGATCCCCGGTACCAAAAAATAAAAAAAATAAAAAATAAAGGCTGAGAATGTAGTTCAGTGTGTAGGTCCTGGGTTCAGTCCCCAGTATAGAGGGAAAAAAGAGGAAGAAAAAGAAAAAAGGTGTCTGTGGGGTTGTTCTGTAGCCTATAAATAATAGTTTGTTAGTCTGTAGGTCCCCACCTCAATCATTTTCTTACATAGACATCAGAGCACTCCAGGAGGTGGGGGATGTAGGGTCTTATGGACAAATACAAGGCAGAAACGGGGATCTGGATGTGCAGGGCAAGGACTGAGGTGTGCTGAGGACAGATGGAGGGGCACGGGCTGTGGAGTAAAAGGGAGCTACAGGGGGCTGCGGTGCAGTTCACATGCACATGGCCCTGGGTTTGATCCCCAGCAAAAGAAAGGAAGAGGGGGTGAGAAAGAAGAGAGGGAAGGGAAAGAAAACAAATAATGGGAGAAATCTCAGGGGAAGCCTGGGCAAGGTGGGACAAGGAGAGAAGTCAGACACAACTCCCAGGTGTTGCCTGAACTGGGAGAATTGGAGAAGTCTCGGGAGTTGGCCTGTCTCCTGGCACTTCTGATCTGCCCTGCATTTTATTTTTCTGTTGCTTTCTTTCCTTCACCTCAAGGGGAGGGAGTTCAATTACTCACCTGTGCATCACTCAGTGTGTTCACTGCAGTAGGTCAGGTGCCTGGGGCTCAGGCAACAAGTGCTCAGTTATTTTGCAGCTGCCAGGTGTGACAAATGGATGCACCACCTTTGATCCTGTTATTTCTAGCATGATCCTGTCCATGTGCTAGTTCAGCAGGCAGATGTTCCTCTGTATGCTTATCAGGCCAGGATGCTGGTTGCTCATGACAGTCACAACTGGAAGTAACATCAAGTTTAGGGTTACTTAGGCATTTCTCTGAGAAACAGAGAAGGAAGTTTCTCTAGAGGTGGGAGAAGTAGGCACTACTGATCTGCATCTTGTATGTACCCTAAAGCACTGCTACAAGACTCAAGCAACACGGCAGGCATCAATAAATTAATAAATGAAAGTGGCAGGGGGCAGCAAGCTGTTGAGCCATGTGTAAGATAGAATAGTTACTCAAATATTTATTGAGCACTTACAGTGTTTGTGGATACAGGTTTTGGAGTAGTATATCCACTCTTGTCAGAGGTCAGCTTCTCGGTCACTTTGTCTAGATTGTCACAGGACTCTCATTTCCCTTAACCAAGCATTTATAAAAAGGCATTTTAGAGCCAGATGTGGTGGCACATGCCTATGAACTCAGTACTCTGGGACACTGAGGCAAGTGGATTGCAAGTTGGAGCCCAGCCTGGGCAATTTAGTGACTTAGCAAGACCTGGTGTCAAAAAATATAAAGTGCTGGGGATATAGCTCAGTTTGAAGGCCTTGGGTTCAATCCCCAGGTTTTTGTTTTTGTTTTTTGTTTTTTTAAAGACAGTCAATTTAGCTGAGTGTAGTGGTGCATGCAGGTAGTCCCAGCACGCAGGAGGCTGAGGCAGGAAAACTGATTTGAAGGCCAGCCAGAGCTACATAGCAAGACCCTGTCTCAACCCACATACACAAAAAGCATTTTAAAGGCTGGGGATTTAGCTCAGTGGTTTCACCGCCTGCTGCACAAGCACAAGGACCCGAGTTCGATCCCCGGTACCAAAAAAAAAAAAAAAAAAGCATTTTAAATATGTGCTGTGGTCTGCATGGTCTACTGAACCAGAAGCACTATTTTTGTCTTGGTTTTGTGGTACCTGGGATAGAACTCAGGACCTCAAGGCCACTTCACCACTGAGCTAAATCCAGAGCTCCTCCCCCCACCTTGGGGACTAAACTCAAGGCTTTCGAACTGAGCTATATCCACAGACTTATCTGAGACAGGGTCTCCCTGAACTGCCAAGTTGCCCAGGCTGTACTCCAACGGGATCTTCCTGCCTTAGGGTCCTGGTGCTGGGAACTACAGCCACATGCCACCATGCCCAGCACTGAGCCTTTAAAAAAAAAATTGAGACAAGGTCTCACTAAGTTGCCCAGGGTGTGCTTGAATTTGAGATCCTCCTGCCTCAGCCTCCAGAGTAACTGGGATTACAGGTCTGTGCAATCACACCTGGTGAACCAAAAGCTCTTTAAAAGCAAAAATGGAGTACTACTCAGCCATCAAAAACGAGAAATTAGAGACATTTATTGCTAAATGGATGCACATTGAGGCAATACTCTTAAGTGAAATAAATAGGACACACGTGTAAATACCGAGCAGTTTCTCTCCTGTGAGAAACTGAAAGTGTAAACAAGGACTAAAAGGTATAATAGATAATGTGAAATAGGAAGAAAAGGGGCAAAGGGGAAGTGGGAGAGGTAGGGGAAAGGAGAGGTAGGGGAAAGGAAAGAAGGGAATGGAATATGAGAAAAAGAAAAAAAGGAAACAAAGTCTTTGTAAATAGGGAGGGATGGAAGGGTGGAAGGGAGGGCAGGGGAAGGGGGAAAAATAAGAACCAAGAGAGTATGTAAAGGTGCATATCTCCAGTGATGAATGTCATTATATTGTATACCTAAAATGTACCAGTAAAAGGATATACTAAACAAAACAAAACAAAACAAAAAAGCAAAAACACACCATTGTCACTGGGAACAGAGTCCTGCCCAAAATAGAAGTCATTTGATCAACAATTGCTGAATTACATGCCAGGGAAGTGAAGTGCTAAGTACGAAGAATATCCTCTAAAGTTTGAATCTGAACTGGATGTCAGAAAAGTTGTTTGCTCAAAAGGTGAAGAGGTGAGAGAATTCCAGGTGGGAAATAAGTACATGTGAAGATAGGAAGGCATGCTGATGCCAGGCCTGAAATTCCCTGTGGTCGGAGCAGCCTTTTTATCTGAGGTGCAGGGCTGGGATGGTGCACAACCTCAGTTCCATCAATCAGGTGCATAAACTATTCATTGAAGGAGCAAGAGCAAATGGGTAGTGACCTCTGAATCCCCTGGGAAAGACCGTGGACCCCGCCCACCACCTGTGCCTCGCACCTTGCTCCTTGCACAGCACGTGCAGCCAGCGAGAAAGCCCTAGGGACGCCCAGGGCGGGGCGCGCAGGCGCGCTGAGGCCTCGAGCCCCAAGGGGCGGGCGGGTGCGCGCGGTTCCTCGCGCACGCGCACACGGAGGGGGAGACGGCCGCTGTGACGCTCCGGCGGCGGCGCGTGAGGTGCGCGATTCCCCGCGTCTTGGGACCAGTGTCCCGGCTGCCGCCGCCATGTCGGGCCGTTCCGTCCGGGCCGAGACCCGCAGCCGGGCCAAAGACGACATCAAGAAGGTGATGGCGGCCATCGAGAAAGTGCGGAAATGGTGAGGGGCGGGAACCGAGGGTGCAGGCTGGGCAGTTGCGGGCTCAGGCCCTGAGGAGCGCCGCACTAGCAGACGGGGTGGGAGCCGAGCGGCTGGCGCTGGGGGGGGGGGGGGGGTAGGAGAAGGCGGGAGTAGTGTACGCCGGCTTCGGCGTGAGGTTAGAGGGCGTGCCGGCCGTGGCCAATCAGGGGACCGCCTGGCTCGTGGACCCGCCCACCGGCCTCGGCCGCCGGGTTCCGGCTTCCTGTATCGCTCAGCTGACGGATTCTGGAGTTGCGCACTTTATCCTGGGACAGACCTACTTGTGTAGCATCCCAGTCTCTGTTTCCAAACTGACCGGTGATAGTAATGAAGCATCATGAAGTGGTTTCGGTCCGCCACACCCACCGAGAGCGCTCCACATATTAAGTCGTTTAAGTTTGGTGAGAAATTTCTCGGGCAGTCTAACTGCCAAAGGAGCAAGTGTGGTCGTGGAATGGAAACCTCGTTCCTTCCTCGAAAACCAGGTTCTCTCATGCTGTGCCCTTGGGGGACAATTTCTCTTGGTCCCCTGGGAGCCGTCACTTGAGTCGATTGTAAAAGGCGTCTATAATATTCGTTAAAGACGTCGATTGAGCGACTGTTTTTCTTTTGTGGCACTGAGGATTGAACCCAGGGCCTTCACCCTGAGCTATATCCCCAGGCCTCCCTATATTTGAGCGATTGTTTTGTATCAGGATCTCCGATGTCTCATTATATTAAACTTTCACACCCAACTCCTGAGCCCTTCTCTCTAGCTGATTAGTTTATGTCTGTGTTAACTTTCTCCAGGGACCCTTCTGTAGTCCCTCCCACTCTTCACCCTCCCGCCTCTCAAGGGACAGCTGTACCAGGCACTTTTATTGTCCACTTCCCCGAAAGACGGAGATTCTTTCTCACAATACTCAAGGGTTTTCATGTATACTTGAGACTCAAGTATTAGTTAAATAATTTAGTTTTCCTTCTTTATTTGGGATCCTCCTGGATTTTGGTGAAACCTAAACATCAACAAACTGTTCTTTCTCTTCTTGCCATCCCGTGTCCCAGCAGCCTAAGCCGTAGGGCCATCCTTTCACATTTGGCACTCTAGCAGTCTTCCTTCCCTGTGATCAGTAGTCTTCCTGCCTCTTCTATTGCCCATTCCCCAGTCCGGTCATGTTGTACTGTGTGATTTTGTTTTTTTCACTTCCAAGTACCATAGGCTTTTAAAAGCACACAGCATAGCACCCCTCTGCTTCCAAAGTGATGGTTCTGCTTTGGTGGCTTTTTTTTTGAGGCACGTTCTCACTATGCAGCCCAGGCTGGCCTCAAACTCGTGGTGATCCTCCTGCCTCGCCCTCCTAATTGCTGGAATTACAGGTGTGTGCCACCAAGCCCGGCTGATGGCCTTTTGTTTTGCTTTTAAAGTAATGACCAAAGAAATTTCTTCCCCAAAAAAGAAACTCCCTCCTGTCTGGCTCTTTCAAAGGATGCTGGTAGCATGCCCCTGCTCTGAGAAGGTACCCCCACATCCTGCTCCCATCTCTTTACCTAGTTAACTTATAGCTCAGCTCCGGAGTTGCTTCCTCAAGGTTACTTTGAGAGTCCCCATCTACATCAGGTCCCCTTCATAGAACTTTCCACGGTTGTATGAGATTGAACTCTGCAGTGCATTATTTGTGTTTGACTTTTTAACATACTTAAGTGATACGTTTTTTGGATGACTCAGGCCTGTAGTACCAGCTACCTGGGAGGCTGTGGCAGGAGGATTGCTTGAGCCCAGGAGTTTCAGATCACCCAGGGTGAGAGGGACCCCATCTTTTGCGGGGGGGGGGAGGGGGGATAGTTAAACCTAATGATTAAGTAATTAATGGTGAAATGATCTGTTGATCTGTTTCCTGTTGGAATACAGACTCTAGGAGGGTAGGGAGAGACCCCTGGGTTCTAGCATAGGATTTTCTGCATTCCTGGATGGAGCCCAGCACAGTCTTTCCTATTAGGTATTTGTTAAATAAATGAGGAAATGGGATGAACTACTCAGAGATTAATTCCAGTTTCCTAAGTTTTCATTCAGTTGCATTACAATTTCTTGGGGCACCCATTTGGTTGGGACTGGAGGAATAGGGAGCATCATATTTCTCTTGCTAGCAGGAGTGGCAGTAGCTTCTTGGCTGTGGCAGAAGTGGATAACTCAGGGCTTGGTGAAGATAAGAGTGAGATGCAGGCCAGAGCTGGCGCAGGAATGGGGAGCCAGCTCTCCCTCATCATTCTAGTTCTTGGTGTGACTCGAATTGTTGCTGGAATCCCAGCTTACAGTTTATCCCTCCAGTCCTTTCAACATTTTCGTGTGTTTCTAGCAAATCCTTTCCTGCTTAAACTAGCTGGAGAGGATTCTGTTGTCTATACCTGGTAATGCTAATGGATAAAATAAGTGCTTTATGAAAGGTAAAAAAAAATTTCTCTTTAAATTTCTGTGGTGTCATAATTTGCTGAACTTGCCTATAATCCCAGTTTCTTGGGAGGCTGAGGATCATTTGGTTGGGCCTAGCCTGGGCATTTAGCAAAAAACTGTCTCAAAATGGAATAACAGAAGGGCTGGGCAGGAAGCTGAGTGGTAGGGCACTTGGCTAGCACTGAGTTCTGTTCTCAGCACTGCAAGATGAAACAAAAGAATGTGTGTAGATTCCTCAGCCCAGTGTTTAATCCCTTCTACAGAGTAGCCTCAAACTGCCTTCCAGCCTTAGCGTCCACAACTTGACTATTTGCCGTTCCCAGCAAACACTTCAGGTATAATCTGATGATATTCAGGTTGAAGGAACGATCCTCTTGAACAGGAAATTTATTTTGGTGTTACATTCTAAGAATTGCCTTTCTTTTAGGGAGAAAAAGTGGGTGACTGTGGGTGACACATCCCTTAGGATATTTAAGTGGGTTCCTGTGACAGACAGCAAGGAGGTAAGTGTGGAAGAAAATCCAGACAACAAAAAGGTATCGTTTTCTCTGTCTCTGTCTCTCTTTTTGATTATCTCTTAATGAAGGGACTTACTTCTCCGGATCTGAGTTGGAAATACTTGAAGGTATCCTCTGTCATTGTTCCATACAAGGCCTCTCTTTAGCATGTGCCCCTTGTTGCCTTCCTTTAGCCCATTCTGCTTTGCCAGGGCTTGACAACCAACATCCCAGGCCTATTTCCTGCCTGTCACTTGTCAGTGTAGCATTCTTGGCACACAGCAGTGCCCTTTGAACCTAGGGCCTCACATGTACTAGGCCAGTGCTCTATCCCTGAGCTGCACCCCCAGCTGATACAGACCATTTTTGAGACAGGGACTCACTGAGTTTTCCAGGCTGGAGTCAAGCTTTTTATCCTCCTGCCTCAGCCTCCCAGGGTGCTGGGATTACAGGGCTGTACTACCATGCCTGTCTGATACCTGTGTATTCTTGAAAAATATATAGTACTGTTTAATACATGTGTATATTATATATAAAACATACCTATTTTACTATAAACTTGTATTTTTTCTCTTTTGTTCAGTCTTGACTGAGCACTCTTCGTGCACCTGTAAACATGACTAGAGCCATTACTTTTGACTCTGGCAGTGTGTTCTCTTATTTGGAGAGACCATGGTTAGCTGCATAGCCCCTGGGTGGTGAACACTCGTATTATCTCCAACTTTCTTTTTCTTAGTTGTTTTTTAAAATTTCAAATCTAAAACATACAGAAAAGTATACAAAACAGAACTATACAGTATAATAAGTACAAAGCTAATATTCTTATTACAAACCACCCAGGTCAAAAAATATAGCCTCACGTAGTGGCACACTTCTATAACCCCAGCTACTAGGGAGGCTGGAGCAGGAGGATCACAAGTTTGTAGCCTTGCTGAGCAACTTTGTGAGACCCTTTCTCAAAATAAGATTTTTTAAAAGCCTGGAGATACAGGTTAGTGGGAGAGTGGGCCCCTGGGTTTGATATCTAGTATGGGGCGGGGAGAGGAGGGGGACAAAAGGATATGGCCTACTCCTCAGAAACCTCTGTGTCACTCTTCCTGACAGGCTCCTCCCTTTCCTCAAGAGGTAATTGCTCTCCTGCCTCTTTTCTTACCTCTTCTCCAGTCACTTAGAAGCATTGGTAACTTTATATAAACAGCGTATTTATGTGTGGTTGTTTGTTTTGGTTTGGTTTTTTGCCCAGCATTATGTTTATAAAAATTAGTCCATGTTGTCTTTGAAGCTATTTGTTCATTTTCTTCCCTTTCTACTTCCCCTCCTTTTCTTAGAAACAAAGTCTTATTATTTTGCCCAGACTGGCCCTAAATGCTTGGACTTAACCCATCTTCCTGCCCCAGCCTCCCCACTAGGAGACTTGGTACTTCCAGGTTTTTTGTTATTTCTTTTTGTTTGTTTTTATTTTGTTTTGCAGTATTGGGGATGAACCCAGGCACATTCTATCAGTGAGCTATATCCCAAACCTTTTTTTTTTGAGAAAGAATCTCAGTAAGTTGCCCAGGCTGGCCTTGAGTTTGTGATCCTCCAGCCTCAGCCTCTGGAGTAGCTAGAAGTACAGTCATGCACCACACCTCAGTATTTTGTTGTTGTTTTGTTTTGTTTTGTTTTGTTTTGTTTTTTTAAAACAAAGAAAATTGCATCTGGAGCTAATGAGGATGGTTTATGCAGTCTTGAAAATGTGCTCCTTGCACCTTTTCAGTGCTGTGTGGTATTTCACTATCTGACTGTCATCACCCTTTTGATTCTCCTATAGATGGACATTTGGCTTGGTCTTGGTTTGGGGTGAGGGGGAGTGGTGACCCTACGAACATTTTTTGTTCAGCATCCAGGTCAGTGTGTTGTGCATTTTCCCAGGAATGTGTTCCTAGGAGTGGGATTGCTGGGCCTTAGGGTATGTGTATTTTCACCTGTTTTGCTCATGCTAGCCTCTTTTCCAGACTGGTTATACACATACTTATATTCCCACCAGAAGTATGAGAGTTCTGCATTGCTCCAAATCCATATCAGCTTGTGGGACTGTTACACTTAGGCATAAAAATAGCTTCTTGAGGTTTTCATTTAATGATTTACTGTCATTGGTGATGAGGTTGTATACCTAGTCAGTGATAAGTCTTTTGGATTACCTATTTTAGGAAGTGCTTGTTTAAGTCTTTTGTCCATTTTTCTGTTTGGTCAGGTAGTCTTTTTCATATAACTTGTAGAAATTCTTTGTATATAGTGTTCTGAATAATTTAAATGTTCAATTTTATGCAGACAAAATACATAATCTTTTAAAAAAATAAATACTAGGTGTTTCTTTAGTTTTTGAGACAGGTCTTAGTTCAGGCTGGCTTTGAGCTCACTCTAGCTGAGGCTGGCCTCAAACTTGCAATGGTCCTCCAGCATCAGCCATCACGCCTGTCTGTAATAATTGATACTTCTAAATTAAGTCTTGGGGGGCGGGCTGGGGGTTGAACCCAGGGCCTTCCAACTGAGCTATGTCCCCAGCGCCTTTTTATTTTTTTAAATTTTGAGATCGGGGGTCTCACTAAACTGCTGAGTTGCTCAGGCTGGGGTGGAACTTGGCATCCTCCTACCTTAGCCTCTCAAATATTGGAACTACCAGGGTGCACCACTGCACTTGGCTGTTAGTTCTTTTTTTTTTTTTTTTTCAGTAACCTCGTGCTTGGGAGACAGGCGGCAGAACCACTGAGCTAAATCCCCAGCCCAGTTCATTTTGACCTGTTGTTTCTTTTACCTCTTTGCCCCTGTGTCCAGCCCTTCTTCACTTCAAGTCTTATCTTGTCCAGTTTTACAATTTCTAACCTGTTTTTCTTTTTTTGTTTATTTTTTGAGACAGGGTCTCACTTTATGGTACAGGCTGGGCTTGAACTCACTATGTAACCCAGGCTCACTATGTAGCCCAGCTCAAACTCATGGCGATCCTCCTGCCTCAGTCTCCCAAGAGCTGAGATTATAGGCATGCACCACCACGCTCGGCTGTTCTGAGCTTATTGACCCTGTTTTCACTCATTAATCTTTTCTTCAGTTATATCTATTTCTACTAAACTCATCACTTAATTTTTAATTCTGAACGATTATATTTTTCGTGCCACCCTGTCTCAGTTTGCAGTGTCAGCCTGCCTTTCCGAGGAGACTCACCATGTTTGGCTTCCATCCCTCCTTGCATCAGTATTGTCTTCTGTGGACTCTCCTGTTGCTATCTGTCATGGTGCTGGAGCTCCCCAGTGTCGGGGGTGCCTTCCATGTGCCCCTCTTTGTTGCTGACTGCTCTGGCTGCTAATCTGTGATGCTGAGCCCCGGCTTCCCTCTAGGTGAATTTAAGGGGTGCGGTTTGTGTCAGGGCTCAGCCTTCCCTGTTTCCCCTGTGCAGTCTCCTCCTGCCCCAGGGACCCCAGCACTGTTCCTTTGGGGCTGCCTTTATCTGGATCCGTTCCCAGGCAGGATGGCACCCAGCATTCCCAGGTGAATATCTAGGGGCTCAAAGACAGCACTATGCTCCCCACCAGTTCTCACTGCAGTGGAGGTCTCATCTTGTCCGTGAGGGTCAGGCAGTGGGATCTCTCTGGTGGCTGTGGCTGTGTATATGAGGCAGGACCTGTCTCCTCCTTCCTGGGACTCAGGCACCCTGGGCTCCCGTCCAGGTGATTGCAGAGCCTGTGAGCGTAGCCAGCTTGCAGCTGTTCAGGAGAGGGCTGGGGATAATCCCAAATCGCTGTCCCCTGCAGACAAAGCCAGTGGCCCCTGGTGGGAGCACTCAGCATCCCACATTGGGGTGGAGCAGATTCTTGAGCCTACTCCAGCTAGTGTGGTGCTGTTTCATGCACATGTTCACACAGTGGTGGGATGGACCCGCCTCTGGGTGGAGAATTCGGTGTCATAATAAATGAAGTTTGTTCTAGGCCACTCCTGAGACAGGTTGGCTGGTTCTTTGTAAGTTTTACAGCAGCTTTTCTGCAAGCATAGCTGATTGGCCTTGGAAGCACTTGCCAAGCAGCCAGCCTTCTCCCAGTGTTTGTGCTGATCGTGAGCTGGGGTTCAACAGCTGATCTCCCTTCCTGGCAAGTAGGAAAGATGGAAAGGGCAATGATCAGATTGGTCAAGGAAAAAAATATGAAGGAGACCAGGGGATGGAACAGCTGCTGATGGGACAGTCCACTGGCACAAATCTGGTACAGGTAGGGTTAGTCATATGTATTTATATTCTTTCCATTTCTGTTTATAAGCTTTCAAAGTATTTTCCTTTGGATCTCCAAACTTTGAGGACTTCATCCTTGGGAGATAATCTTGATGTGTTTATTGTACATCTACAATGTTGGATATTGCAGTATTGTTTGTAGTATTGAAAAATTTCAGGGCTGGAGATTTAGCTCAGTGGTTCCGCTCCCTGCCTCGCAAGTGCAAGGATCCAAGTTTGATCCCTGGTACCAAAAAAAAAAAGATTATATTGAAGGAATTCACAAAGTTTAGTGTATGCCCAATTGTGTAAAGCTCTTATAACACTTACAAAAATGCCATTGAGCCAGGCATTTTGGTGCACACCTAGAATCCCAGCACTCTGGGAGGCCAAGGCAGGAAGATTGCAAGTTCAGGCCCAGCCTGGGCAACTTAGTGACTTAGCCAGACCCTGTTCAAAATAAAATTTTTAAAAAGGGCTGAGAGTGTATCTCAGTGCAAAGGCCCTGGGTTCATTTTCCAGCACTCCGAAGTTATAGAAGGTTATTCAGTGAAATAGAAATAGAGAAATGTTTATAATATGGTAAGGAGTGGAGGAAGGAAAAGCAAATTATAATACGATGATCCTTTTTCATATGCAGGTTGTCTCTGCAGGTGATTTTTTTTTCTGTATTTTCAGAATTTTATATAGTGAATACATGTTTTATGTGAACACATAATCAGTAAAGAGATGAGAGAAAGGTAATGGTAAAGCCAAATATTGGTGTGGGTGCTATGAAAATAATACATCAAATATATTGCTGCATCTTTTGATTTTATTTTTTCTGACTCTGGGGTTGGAACCCAGGGCCTTGTGTATGCTAGACAGAGGCTCCACCACTGCACTGTGCCCCACCCTGCCATGTCCTTATAGAAAGCAGTGAGATATAGTGTAGTTCAAGAACAATAATATGGGGTCTTTTTGGTTTTGGTTTTTGTTTTCTTTCTTGTTTTATTGAGACAGTGTCTTATTATGTGGTCCAAGCTGGCCCAAACTCACTGTGTAGTCCAGCCTGGCCTTGAACTCATGGTGAGCCTCCTCTCGCAGCCTCCTGAGTGCTCAGATGTTTAAGCATATACCACCATGCCTGGCTCCATTTATACTTTTGATCTAGAAGGAATATGTTTTTACAGATTTATCTGAATAAAGTAGGAAAAGAAGTGAACGTTGAACGTTAGTGCTTTGTTCTTAGTAGTGATAAGCACAATCTGAGTTAAAGCTAAATGTCCAAGAGTTGAGATCTGATTGAATCATGGTAATAGAATATTATGCAACTGTGAAAAATAGGTTTATGGGGCCAGGGATTTAGCTCAGTGGTGCTGCACCTGCCTCACAAATGCAAGGGCATGGTGCTGAGTTCGATCCCCAATACCGGGGTTGGGGGGGAAATAGGTTTATGAAGGGATGGGGATGTAGCTCAGTGTCACCGTGCCTGCCTGGTCTTGATTCCCAGACCAGAAAAAAAAATTGGTTTATGTAGCATATGTAGTGAAATGGCAGAGCGTTTGCAATTAAAATTACATCTGTGTGTGAAAAATGAAGGTAAGGACAAGGTCTAGGGATGTGGTTCAGTGGTAGAGCACTTGTCTAGCGTGCACAAGGCCTTGGGTTTCATCCCTAAGGCTGCCAAAAAAAAAGAGGAGGTAAGGACACACATAAATATATACAGCTGATTTATTCAGAAACTAAATTGTGCTACTAGCGTATCTAATAAATTAACATGTATAAAAGATATGAACTGGTAAATGGGAGGTGACTTAGATTTATACATTTTGCTTTTGAAATGCTGTTACTTGCAAAAGCTTCGATTGATTATTTCCTTCACCCTGGCTTATTGCTTGCAAGCTAGCACTTTCCTGTGGTTCTCCTACCCATACGAGCTACATCCTGTTAGCGGCAAAGGCAAACATGCATTGATCATTTGGAACGCATGAGGACGATCCTTCACCGAGGGGTCCTTTTGTCCTGTGCTGCATGCATGATATATATACGGTCTCTTTTTGTCCCACTAGCAGTCCTTTCTTCTCTTCCCCTGTGCTACTAAGACAGGAGTCCTCTTCAGATGAATGTATTTCTTGCACATCCACGCAGGGAAGGGCTGACTGAGCATGTGATTGGAGTGCAGGAGAGCCACAGGGAGCTCTAGGAGAGGCAGAAGCACTTCCTGCTCACTTTTGATTCAGCTTATTTGCCTTAGAAGGGTTTGTTCTACACAGATGCTGAGGCTTGAGAAGCACTGTGCCCAGGATTCTGTTATCCTTGGCTCCCTGGAATCTCAAATCCTCTCCTTCCTGTTTAGTCCTGTTCTCCCGACTTTTGTGGGTTCTCACATAGCAGAGCATCTTTCTTCTTCTTTGTGAGTCTCCTGCTTGGCTCTGTCATATTCTTCTTTGTTTTCCTTTTCTAGAAAGAAAAGTCAAAATCCAACAGTTCAGCAGCCCGGGAACCTAATGGCTTTCCCTCTGATGCCTCAGCCAATTCCTCTCTCCTTCTTGAATTCCAGGGTGAGTTCCATCTGTATGTCTTCCTTGCAGGAAAAAGGAAATTTAGATGATCTCCCAAGAATAAGAATAGTTTGCAGTCCATCTCCTTGCCTGTGGTTCTGCTGTTATTTTGCTAGGCACTTCACAGAAGTCTCTTCATTTACATCTCACAGTAACTCTGAAAGGTGGATAGGAGTAGCCTCATTTTCTGTTGTAGGAAACCAGCGTGAAATATGTAAAATTACACAACTCCTATGTTGCAGACCCAGTGTTGGGGCCTGATGTCCTGGACCAGAAGCTTGCTTCTCTTTAGATAGTATATTTTATTTATTTATTTTGGTATCGGGAATTGAATGCAGGACCTTGCACTTGCCAGGCAGGCACTTCCACCACTGAGCTACATCCCCGGCCCCTTAGATGGTATACTTTAAGATTGTGTCTTTTTGGGGCCGGGGATGTAGCTCAGTGGTTTTGCTGCCTGCCTTGCAAGCGTAAGGACCCAAGTTCGATCCCTGGTACCAAAAAAAAAAAAAAAGACTGTGTCTTTTTTTTTGGTACCGGGGATCAAACTCGGGACCTTGCGCTTACGAAGCAGGTGGCGGAACCACTGAGCTAAATCCCTGGCCCTTAAGACTGTGTCTTACACTAGGCTATCCAGAGCAACGCTTTGCCTCCTAACCAGCCCCTTGCCTGTGTCAGCCCTGGAACCACAGTGCCACTTTTCCAGACATGGCAGTCTTTGTTTATGAAGCACTTCACTTCCATTTCTCATTTTTATGCATCAGCCTGTGATACAAACCAGGTAGTTACTGCCATCCCTATTTAGGAAATTGATGCTCACAGAAGAGTGCCACAGCTCACAAGTGACAGAGCAGTAGTATTTTTATAATAAAGTCTGCTTTAGTGTGGAGGATAGAGGTCTTTTTGTAGGAGTGAAGACGACAGGGGCTTACAGTCTTCTCTTTGGAACGAGATTTGGAGCCAGCCCAGCAGCAGCGCCCCCCCCCCCCGCCCCCGCAAGGTCAGTGGCATATGGGAAGGAGAATTCAGGAGACAGTTTTCTAGCTCTGTGAGGGGTGTACAATAATTGAGAGTCTCTGGAAGGCTTACAAGCCACATTTCCTCAGTCTGGTCCCTGTCTCCTCTTCATTCAGGAAATGGTTAATGGGCTCCTGCTGTGTGCCAAGTACTTACTGTGTGTTACATTTGGGAGTCACAGAGCCTGCTGCACAGGTGTGTGAAGCAGTGAACGCAGGGTACACGGCCCAAGAAGGGCATCACAGCGCATGGGCTCTTCCCCTATGTGAACCAAGGAGGCGGGACTGCTGCACTGCTGGTGTAGGGCTTTCCGGAGAGACTGGGGTGTGGAAGTCATAGCAGCACAGAGGACCATTGTGAACAGCCCTTGGGTTAGCGTGCAGCTTGCTGGAGCCCAGGCTGCATGTGGGAGAATAGCAGGCAGTGAGGCCAGAAAGCAGCCGGACTTTGCATGTGGTAGCCAGGTCATCTCGGGTGTACCCTGAGAGGCATGTTGTAGGTGGCAGGGACCATGCAAGGGTTTGGAGAGATTACTCTGGCAGTGGTGTGAGGGCAGGGCACCTAGTGGCTGTCACAGAAGCCCATGCAAGAGACAGTGAGGCCTGAACTAAGGCAGCAGGAGAGGACAGAGCAGGCCCAAGTGAGCTCAGAGCCAGAGGAGACACTGATTTGGTGACTGGCCACTGGAGGGGAGGGAGAAGACAGCTGTGGTTGACTGTTTTGAATTTACATGACTTTAATCCTTCCAAGAGAGTGCCTGAGTGGCAGTCCCTCATCTGTGGGGAGTCAGGCGGCCAAAGGCTGAGTTGACCACCTCCACACACCAGCCTCCTTCAGGTACCCAAGAGTGCCAGTCTAATGGTAGTGTTTCCTGGGTGATGTGAGAAAGATGGGAAGTACTGACTGTGGCTGCATCTCTACCCCTCCTTGCACTGGGCACCTAGGAAAGACCAGCCCCAGGTTGTAATTGGTGGTTGTGAAGAAGCAATTAAATAAGCATAACCCAGCCCTCCCAAGGTCTAAAAGATTTTAGTGTGTCAGTGCTTAGAATATGTGTGATCAAATGGAAAGTGTTTAATTAATCCCTGGAGACTCTGCAGACAATTGGCAGTGCCCAGAAACCCCACTAGAGCCCCCCTTTTCAGGGAGTGTCTGCAACAATGACATGGTGCCCACTGTGTCCATGGCTGGCTGTGAAGATTCCAGGTCCCCAAGAGGAGATTCAGTCCTCTGGCCTGAGTTGAGTTTCTCTTGAACACGCCTGCCCCAACTGTGCCCTTGCTGTGTTTGGTTTTCAGACGAAAACAGCAACCAGAGTTCTGTGTCTGATGTCTATCAGCTCAAGGTGGACAGCAGTACCAACTCAAGCCCCAGCCCCCAGCAAAGCGAGTCTCTGAGCCCCGCACACACCTCTGACTTCCGCACTGATGACTCCCAGCCCCCCACGCTGGGCCAGGAGACTCTCGAGGGTGAGTTATGGGTGACCCCACACAGCATCATGGGAGGGGCCTTGCCTCTGGCCTGATTTTTCTCTAATCCCAGCAGTTGGGAGGCTGAAACAGGAGGATCCCAAGTTTGAGGTCAGCCTGGGCTACATAGTGAGTTCAGGGTTGGCCTAAACTAGATAGTGAGACATAGTCTCAAGAAAAAAAAACTGATGGAATCAGATGTCACCTTAAGTCCTTCTAATGTCAGAACTGTCATGCTCTTTGCATTATATCTTGGGATTTTTTGTTATAGATGTAAGTAGATGTGTATATGTCTTTGGTCCTTGATAGCTTCTGTTGGTGGATGGTCCATTAACAGCAAGTCACAAAATTTTTCTGTGGGTAATCCCAAGTGTGGCTTATATTTGCTGTGTGCTTACTATTTTCTGTTCACAATTTGGGCTCCTTCCATGTACTTTTTTCTTTTTCTCTTTTTTTTGGTACCAGGGATCAAACTTGGGACCCTGCGCTTTCGAGGCAGACAGCGGAACCACTGAGCTAAATCCCTGGCCCTTCTATGTACTGTTTAATTCTCATAGCAACCCTCTCATAAAACTGGGACAGGAGTCAGGATTGGAGCACTTGGCCTAGAGAGTGGCAGAATGGGCTGGCTTCCAGCCTGGCACTGGTGGTAACCCTCTGACATAGCCATACTCTCCACATCTACCATTAGTGACCAGAGTCCTGGCCCCACCAAGCCACTGTTCCTCTGGCACAAAGTTGCCTCCCTAGAACTTGTGGGACACCTCCAGGGGTGAGGCCGAGACTCTGGACCTCCTGCCTGTGTGAGACCCACACTTGGGCTGACCTTGCTTTTTCAGAGCCCTCCCTGCCTGCCTCAGAAGTCGCTGATGAACCTCCCACCCTTACGAAGGAAGAACCAGTCCCACTGGAGACCCAGGTAAGGCAGCCCTCTGGCCTTCCCTGTTTCCAAGGCAAGAAGGAAAGTCTTGCAGTGAGGTCGCATGGGTAGCACCGAGTGTGTTCAGGTGGGCCATGGAGGCAGGCGGGTTGCTTCTCCAGGTCTTGGGAGGGAAGTGGGGTGTCTTCGAGGAGGCAGAGGGTGGGCTGTGAGGGTCTGTTGGAACAGGCCCCACCACTTCTGGCTCCACTGCCTCTAGATGGCGGAGGAGGAGGAGGAGGACTCTGGTGCCCCGCCACTGAAGCGCTTCTGTGTGGACCAACCTGCAGTGCCGCAGACGGCCTCCGAAAGCTAGCACTGCCTGCACACGGCCTCCGAAAGCTAGCACTGCCTGGTGCGCTCCTCCTGGCCCTGCCTCTATTTATTGTATTCTGGCTCTGGCCGTGCCGTGTCACTGGGGTTAGGGCAGCACTGGGGCCGAGCCTGCACACGGGAGCCCTCCAGGCTGGAAGGCCAGCGTAGGACCTGGGGTTGTAGCGTCATCAACCTGTCCCTGGCACCTGTGTCAGCTTGCTCCTAGGAAGAGGAGTGCTTATGTCCTTTTAGCACTTCAGCAGGCTGGAGCCTCAGCCATTCCAAGGTTCGTCTGTCACCTCCTGGTAGCATTCTCTGCTCTAGAACCTCTGGACGGAGCTGCTGGCGCTTCTTCAGGAGAAAGATATGGAAGGCACCTCTGGGGAAGAGAGTGCCGAGGTTACTTGAACTTGAACAAAGACTGTAGATTGTGGGACTGTCTCAGGGCCGGAGCCCTGTGGTCCCCTTTGGAGGCCTGGGTAGAGATGTGGGTGGGCTGGGGAGGCTCTTCCCCAGGAAGGAAGGGCCTGTCTTACACATGGCCATAGTCCCTGTAGGTTTCTTGCCATCCTGGCCGTTCTGCTCCGTCCTCAGGAGGTGCCGCCTCTCCTGGGCCCTCCCGCTGCCAACAGCCCTGTCCCTGTGACTGTCCTGGCCCCATGTATGCACACACGCAGTTTCTGTCTCCACCTGTACATTTCATTCCAGTGTCCCCTGCCTCCTGCCACCACCGACCCCAGCAAGGATCGAGGTTCTGACAACAGAACCCACCCCCCACCTACTCCTCAGCTCAGACTTTATAGAAAGCTCCCTTGCTTTGAAATCTGCATGTTTAATTGAACTTTGTGATTTTATTTTTTGTTTAAAAAAGTTTAAGAAAATGGAAATGGGCAACAACAAGTGAAGACTTATTTTAGCACTGAATAGAATATTTTTTAAATTAAACTATTTGAAATATGTCCTGTTGGTATCTGAGCTCTTCATTCTGGAAGGCTGTGGGCTGGTGTAGGCTGGTGTGGGCCGGTGTGGCGGAGCGCCTGGGAAGAGCAGGCTCTGGAGTGTCCTGCACTGGCGTTGCTGCGAGTCACACTTCACTCACTGGTTGCACTGAGTGCAAGCCAGTCCTCGGGACAGGTTCATGAGTTACTTCACTTTGACCCTGTGCTAAAATACATGAAACGTGAGACATCTGTTTTAAACTCATTAGGTTTCTTGAGACAGGGTCTCTCTATGTAATCCAGGTTGGCTTTAACTCACTGTGTAGCCCAGGCTGGCGTCAAACTCACTGCGATCCTCCTGCCTCAGCCTCCAGAGTGCTGGGATTACAGGCGTGCACCACCATGCCCAGATTCATTTCAAACTGCTTTAAGTATACAGTTGAGTGGTGCTGAGTACATTGATGACGTAGCCATCACCACTGTACAGCTCTGAACTCTGTCATTACACCAAAGACCTTGCACTAGCCTGGTGTGATGGCCCATCCCCACCATCTCAGTTACTCGGGAAACTGAGGCAGGAAGATCACTAAGCCTAAGTCCTGCCTGGGAGGCTTAATGAGACCTTATTTCAAAAAATAATGTTTTTGAGTCAGAGTCTCAACTGTAATTTCAGGCTGGCCTTAGATTCAATTCACTATGTAGCCCAGGCTGGCCTCAAACTTGTGGCAGCCCTCCTGACTCAGCCTCCCAAGTGCTGGGATTACAGGCGTGCATCACCATGCCTGGCTCATCCGGTCTCAAAATTTTAAAAAGGGCTGGAGATGTACCTCCACTTTAGAGTCCCCAGGTTTAGTCCCTAGTACCTCAGAACAAGCAGCAACAAAACTGTGCACCAAGCAAGGAGTCATTCTCCATTTCCCCACCCCCCCACCCCCTAGTCTTGGACAACCACAAATCTGCTTTCTGTCTGAGTTCTTTTTGTTCCTGATTTTAAAGGGAAACAAAAGAGTCATGGTTGGAAAAACGCCAACGTTCTGTGTTTAAGTTTCATTTCCATATACTCTGAAGCACCTCCTCTCTTGGGAGCCTCAGGTATGATGAGACTAGAATGGAAGACCTGTTACATTGTCCCTAGTGTGTTGATTTGTTTTTTGAGACAAGGTCTCACTATGTAGTTCAGGCTGCCTTGAACTCAATATATAGCCCAGGCTGGCCTCAAACTCAAACAATTCTGCCTCAGCTTCCTGAGTGCTGGGATTATAAGTGTGGGCCACCATGCTCTGCTAGTTTTGTTTTTTCTTTAAAAAGTTTACATGCTGGATGTGGTGGCCCACCTCTGTAGTCCCAGCACTCTGGAGGCTGAAGCAGGAGGACTGCTGTCAGTTGGAGACCAGCCTGGGATACATAGCAAGACCCTGTCTCAAAAAAAAAAAAAAAAATTTTAGCTCAGTGGTTTCGCCACCTGCTGCAGAAATGCAAGGGCCCAAGTTTGATCCTTGGTACCAAAAAAAAAAAAAAAAAATGGGGCCGGGGATTTAGCCCAGTGGTTCCATTGCCTGCCTTGTAAGCACAAGGACCCGAGTTCGATCCCTGGTACCAAAAAAAAAAAAAAAAAATGGGGCCGGGGATTTAGCCCAGTGGTTCCATTGCCTGCCTTGTAAGCACAAGGACCCGAGTTCGATCCCTGGTACCAAAAAAAAAAAAAAGTACATAACATGCAAGGTGCAGTGGTGCACGCCTGTAATCCCAGTACTTGGGAGGCTGAAGCAGGAGGATTATGAGTTTGATGCAATCCTGGGCTACATAGGGAGGTCAAGGCCAACCTGGACTGCATAGCCAGACCATTTCTCAAAACACCAAAACAAGCAAGAAAGACTGTGGAAATCATTGTGGAGATTTCTAAAAGAAAACTACACGTTCCTTTTGACCCAGCCATACCTCTTCTTGCTATCTTCCCGAAAGAATTAAAAACGTCATACCACGGTGATATATCTGCACTCATGTTTATAGCAGGACAGTTTGTAATAACTAAATCTTGGAAACAGCCCAGATCCCCATCAACTGATGAATGGATAAAGAAGATGTGTGGTTTTTTAATACAGTGGAGTACTACTCTGCCATAAAGAAGGGTGAGCTTCAGACTTTATAGCTAAATGAATGGACCTTGAGACCATACTCTTAAGTGAAATAAATCAGACACACATGTTCAAATACTGCATTGTTTCTCTGGTATGAGAAACTGAATGTGAAAATAAGGACTGAGATGTATAATGGAAAATTATAAATTGTATAATGGAAAATTATACAATACAAATAAGTATTGTAATTATACAAATGAGGACTGAGATATATAATGGAAAATTGGGAAATAGGAAGAAAGTATTCACATGGGAAGGGGAACAAGGGAGGAGGGAGGGAGAAAGGAAGGAAGGGACAAGAAAAAAGTGAAAGGGCTGGGGATTTAGCTCAGTGGCACTGTGCCTGCCTTATAAGCACAAGGTCCTGAGATCAATCCCCAGTACCAAAAGAAAGGAAGAAAATAGAAATAAATGGAAACAAAGCTTTTGTACATGGTGGGGGGGGCGTTGGGAAGAATGGGATAAAATTTTAAAAAAATTTTTTTGTGTGTGGTACTGGGGATTAAACACAGGACCTTGTGCTTTCGAGGTAGGCGCAGTGCCACTGAGCTACATCCCCAGCCCAATAAAATAAAATTTATTTAAAAAACAAACAAGAGGGCCGGGGATGTAGCTCAGTGGTTTCGCCGCCTGCTACATAAGCTCAATGACCTGAGTTCGATACCCAGTACCAAAATAAATAAATAAATAAAAACTTGTTAAAAACAAGAAAGGACTGGGTGTATAGCTCGGTGCTCCCTGGTTTGAATTGCCAGTACTTTTACAACCAAAAAGAACTGGGTTTTGTTTTGTTTTATTATGTTTTGGTACCAGGGATCGAACTCAGGACCTGTGCTTGTCAGGCGCAGCACCCCTGAGATACAACCTCAATTGCCAGTACAGGAAACAAAAAATTTAACATACTACCAAGTTAGCAAATGAGTGGTATATAAAGTAAGATTATTTTTTCAATGCTGGGGATGAAACCTAGCTCTTAATACGTGCTAGGCAGGTGGTCTACTTTTTCTTTGAGTCAGGGTCTTAGTGTGTAAGTCCAGACTGGCCTCAAACTCCTGCCTCAGCCTCCAGAGTAGTGCTGGGATTACAGGCATGAACCATCATGCCCAGCTAAATGCTCTACTACTGGAGGAGCTATGTCCCCAGCTCTTTTTAAAAAATTGAGAGAGAAAGCTGGGCCTGGTGGCACACACCTACAATCCCAGGCTTAGGGAAGCTGAAGTAAGGAGGAATGTCACAAGTTTGAGGCCAGTCTGTGCCCAGCCCAAGATTGATTTTTTTGTGTTGTTTTTTTGGAACTGGCGATCGAACTTGGGACCTTGTGCTTGCTTGGCAGGTGGTGGCACCACTGAGCTAAATCCCAGCCCCAAAAATTGTTAAAGTGTTTAAACAAAGGAAGGGGCTGAAAGTGTAATGAGCTGGGCTTGGTGGTGCATACCTATAATCCAGCATTCTGGGGAGCTGAGGCAGGAGGATCATAAGTTTGACCCCAGCCTGGAAAATTTAGCAAGACCCTGACTCAAAAAGTAAGCTGGGTGTGATGGCACATGCCTGTCATCTCAGCACTCAGGAGGCTGAGGCAGGCAAATTGCCAGGGATTCTAGGCCAGCCTGGACTACATAAAAAAACCCAACAAGCTGGGCTGGGGAATTTAGCTCAGCAGTGCAGTGCCTGCCTGGCAAGCACAGGGTCCTGATTTCGATCCCCTGTACCAAAAAAAACACCAAGCAGGCTGGGCATGGTGGTGCATGCCCATAATCCCAGTACTTGGGAGGCTGAGGCAGGAGGATTGCCTGGCTTTAAGGCTTGCCTGGGTTACATAGTTTAAGGTCAGCCTGAACTACATGTGAGAACCTGTCTCAAAAACAAAACAAAGAAGCACAAAAAACCAAGCCAACAACCCGAACCCCCCATCAAAATAATAATAATAATAATGAAAAAAAATGATAATAATAAAAAGGAGTAAGCTCAGTGTGAAGGCCCTGGGTTCAGTCCTGAGTACTGAAAACAAATTTAATAAGAGACCATAAAAAATAGGCAGGGCTGGGGATTTAGCTCAGTGATTTTACCACCTGCCTCGAAAGCACAAGGTCCCGAATTCAATCCCTGGTACCAAAAAAAAAAAAAAGACGGGATATAGGACTGGGTTCAATCTCTAGTGCTGGGCTGGGGGGAAAAAATTCCATCCATCAGGGGACAGTAGAAATGGACAGGAAATTGCATAGTAAGTGCTGGTGCCCACATAGAACCAGGTAGGATGGTGAGGAAGGTAAAACAGAGAGCCATCCGTTTATTACTGCATTGACTTCCACCTCTGTGCCACTTCACTGAAACGGTTCTGTGAAAATCAGCCCAGCAGCTCCCACCGCTACCCTAGACTCTTGGTAAAATGTGGCTTAGGAGGATGAGAAAAAGTAGGGAAAGCCACAGAAGGACCACGAGATAGTCCCACCACTTGTACATTTCCTCTGGGTCCTGGTAAGTTCAATACTTCGCACACTTTAATTATTTTTGTTTGACCCAAGTTCGATCCCCGGTACCAAAAAAAAAAAAAAAAAAATTTTTGTTTGGTTTTTGAGGCAGGGTCTCACTGGCCTTGAACTTGTGGTGGTCATCCTGGCTCAGCCTCCTGGAGAGTTGAGGTTATTACAGGCGTGCACCACGACACCTGCCTTATGTCATTATTTTTGAAGGGTTCTGATAACTACTTGTAGACTGTCCCACAACCTTTTGTCCCAATAACCTTTGGCTATTTTGAGAGATTCAGGTTAATTTTTGTTTTGTTTT